TTTTTTTTTTTTTGAACAATTACAATCTTTGGATGATAGGGAAGGGAATTAAAGTTAATAGCCCTCAAATTTTAATTGAGTAGGTAATAAGTAATATCGCTTATACTTACCTCATAAGCCAGGTTCAACAAGAGAATGAGTGTTTTTTATTTGATTGATTTTAACAGTTTATATGTATTTTTTAAAACAATTAGTTAAGTATTTAAAAATATTAATTTATAAATTAATCATAAATTTATATCAATTATTCTATTAATTATTAATCAATAATTTTAAAAACAGTGAAACCAAATAGTGCCAACCATCAATAAAATTCATTGCTCAAGTTTCTTCTTCTCTTGGGAATCCTTTTCCTTTTGTTTGGCGTTTTTGTGTTCTTGAATGAGAATCATCCGTTCTTTTTTCCACTTATCTAATCTTTTTTTTCTCGCCCAGATGGATCCACACATCTCCAAATGGCCAAATAATCACCCAAATAGATCAAACTCGAAAACCCCAGAACAGTTCGTGTCCATGGCCTCTTCTGGGCCTCTGCAGATTTGGCCCCCGGAGAATTGTTTTCCCAATTGTTCATTGGAAATGCCCCCAAAGACTTCCCTCAGGTTCACAGGCTTTTCCATTTTCCCTCAGGCATAACATAAACGCCTTGGACCAGATGTTGGGCCTCATATATAAGCAAACGTCTTAACCGTCTTGGTTTTGACTACTGACAAAGAGACTTCAACCTTCCTAGGAACCGTGTCACAGCATTTATAATAATTGGAATAATCATGTCGGTTAGTCGGTCCAAAATATGATTAAACTTACCTAATCCAAGCCGCCCCGGGTAGGAATGATAATTTTTTGTGAATTGAGAAACCTTAAAAGCTTGACGTGGATTTTGATCATCACATGATAAGATTTCACTCTCAATCTATTTTCATGCTCCTAAAGCCACACCTTTCTTCAAAGTAGTAATTAAAGAAAGAGAGGCCAAAGGATGTGCAATGTAGGGCACAGCACGAGACATAGAGATGGGTGGTGGAAACAAAAAGCAAAAGCCAAAAAGCATCACATCCTTGTGGTCCCAATTTTGGCCATATGTTTCACCACTTAATCCTTTTCATAATAATAATAATAATAATAATAATAAAAAATCACGAATGCAACTATTTTTTTTTTTGTTGTTTAAGAGAATCAGTTTCAGTCAAATATACATCATTCATTTCATATTGAACAATTATATATTAAATTTTTTTTAATTATTAATTAATGAAATTAAAAACTTCTTGTATAACCTAACTTCAGGAATTAGTGAAACGGCATTGAAGACCCCAGCAAAGTCGACATGGAATGGCTTAGGTTTATTGGTTATGGAGAAAAACACATGTTGGGAAATGGGTTTGTCACGCTTTTGGAGCAGTGTTTTCAACTGCCTAACTTGAAGAGTAGCACATGTACCCCATGATTTGGATGGCCTATAGACCACACAATTTGTATGTTCGATAGTTTCACTTGAAGGATCTGCTTCTACAAAACATTCCTTCAATTTGTCACCCTTTCTTAAGGGGGAGAAAAAGGGATTCTTCAAGTTCTTTTCTTCAAGGGATACCTCAAATCCCTTTATAGAAAGGAGAAAGCAGTAAAGGGATGGCTTGGAATTTGAGAAGCAGAATCTGTTCTTTTAATGTGCATCTAAAAGAAGCTTCACTGGGTTTGCTGGGGCAATGTAGAAAAGAAATAAGACCTCAAAGATTCCTTATCTACAGTTCTTAATTGTGTTTGGTTGTTTGTTTACCCTCAAAAAAGAAAGAAATCAATTGCTTTTTCCCTGCTTGATTTTCTCTTCCTTTCTAGGAACTACAATAAAGTACAAAATTATAAAAGAAATTCATCTCTTTCTCAGCAACCAAACAGAAACATTCTACCCCATATAAAGAGCATGTTATTCAATGGCAATGCCATTACAAACTGAAATATTGCAATTGCAGAACCAACAAAGAGACATAAGTAAAATTCCAATGTAAACAAGAAATGACCACAACTTCTGTAAGATACAAGATTGGAAAGTAGAGAGGAGACAATAAGGATGTTACCAGGAATGGGGAGTCTGCATATGGCACCAAAAGTACCAATTGACTGTTCTCTTCAAGCCCACATGCTTTCCTTCACCTGTGAATAATTTGGTCTCAGGCAGCAAATTCTGCAGTACCTTATAATCAAAGAACAATCAACAGCCTTCTAGTGCAAAATGGCAGGATTCTTTAAACTAAAATATTTCAACCAAAAATATGCCAAAAAAAAAAAAGAGAAAGGGAATGAAAGGCACAAAATTAAATATTTAATTCAAGGAAGAAAATGAGAAGCAATTACATAAAATATAAGTATTTCTGCACAGCACAGGTCAAAAGAATAAAAGAAACCTAAGAAATGAGGATGAAAGAACAAAAAGAATCACTATAACAACCAACAATAATAGGGTTGGTTTGGAGTACAAATCTAATATTCTAATTCATCTTGCAAAAATACTTAATTATGACAGAATTCTGTATAATATAAACAATCACAGAAATTTCTGCTGCCCTACTTGGTCAATAAGTAGATGTTTTCCTACATCTTAGCAGGCTTCTCTGACCCTTTAAACAATTCTCTGTGCTGTATCAATATCCTTTGAAGTAGCTTCCAAGACAGGTCCTTTGCTAAAACTGAACGCCTATGGACTAAGTCAACTGCAATTTATCTGCCATCCAACAGATGATTAGGGCTATAATGAATTTGACTTTTGTGAGAATGCCGCAATCAATTTTTCCTTAGTTAGCTGTAGCTGTTCGGGGCCTTGAGATTTGATTACAAATGTGTGGAAGACAGTATCATTTGCTGCAGCAAGCCTCGAATCAAGGACAGTAATGTTCGCCTCTTTAAACACTTGAATGACTCCTGATGCAGGGTGCAAATCTGAAGGACAGCTAGCTCTTACAATAACCTCATCATGTCCGACTTGAATATCAACATTAACAGAATGGTTATGATTCTCCAGAATTGGATTGGACTCCAAAGCTGAAGAATCTCTTGAAGAGCTACCAAATTTCTCTCTCTCTGCTTCCAAGTCCTTGAGCCTTGCCTGAAGGTCATTTATATAGGCAATTGCATCACCTAACAAGGAAGCTTTGTCCATCTTGGATATGTTGGGCACCACAGCTCTCAAAGCATAAAACCGCTGGTTCAGCTTCTCACGCCGCTGCCTCTCGGCTTCAACGTGATTGAGAGGTTCTTCTCTTCCGTTTGCAGGCTTTCTTCCACGCTTCCGAGGCCTCCTTTCATCAGCTGCACATGGCCTCCCTTCCCTGCGCGAAGCTTCGACATCTGAATGCTCTGAATCAGCACTCTGAGCAACCATTCCTGATGTAGCCCCTGAAAAATCAATCTGCATTTGGGCTGGCTTCTGGGACTGAAAGTGATTCCGAAACTCTTCAGTAATTGCACTAACATGCTCTTGAACATTATTTGATGAGAACTCAATGGGGTTCCCTTGTTTCACACCAGGAACAACATGTGGCCAACTCGAACCATGAAGGCCATTCTGATTGCTTGTAAATGCCAGCCTACCACCCCCATTAGCATAGGCCTCCCATGTTGGCCTGTCCTCCATCTTTCTAATGGCAAGTTTCTCCCTGTGATGAGTATGATTACGGCCTGTGCTTTTCAATTCCTGCCCGAAAATCTTTGGAATCCCTTCCACTCTTTCAGCAACCCCCAGATTGGAAAAACGGGTATTCTCATCTTTCTTCTCATTCACTGCTGCTATAACCGCTGGCATGGGCTTGGCTCTGAGCAGCACAGAATTAGACGAAAAAAAGCTCCTAACAAACTGCAACAACTCTAAGTTTTCAGGTACATATCTCACTGACCCCAACTCAACAACACCAACATCAGTAGGGACCAAGACAATGGTCTGAATTCCAGCAGACTTCGCAAGAAAAGACCGAACACAGTAATCAGAACCAGGCTTCAGAGCATCCAAGATCCATACGTGCTTCCCTGACGCCAAACACCTCCCGGGACCGCCTTCTCCTCGAGGAAACGAGAAATACATAGATGCTAAGAAGAACATCTCTGTATCAGTAACTCTATCCAACCCAAGAGCGTAATTATCCTCATCTGATCCGCCGAACAGCACATGCAGTCTCTGCAAAACCCTTTTCCTCCACTTCTGCTGAGTATCATCTTCAAGACGAAGATTGAGAATCCTCATAGCTTCCCGTTCTTCCCCCTCCATTGGCTCTCTACAAGACCCATCTCCCCATCCAAGAACCACATCCGCGGATTTGGACCGCGACACCTGCCAGAATATCGCGTAGTTCCAGCTGAAATTCGCGGCGTTCGGCCTGTCCACCAGATCTGAGAGCTTGTTCTGGAGATTCTCATCGCTGCCGAGAGTCATCAACAGGTTCTCATTCGAAACCGAGCTCGATATCAAGTAATCGAATGCCCTTGTTCCCAAAACACTAGCAACCATGGCCTTCTCCTCATCATTCCACGCCCCACCTCCCATCCCAAATTCAATTTTCATCTCTAAACCTCCTAAACAAAACTACCCACAAAAATTCAAAACCCAAATATCCAATCCCCAACCTTAAACAACGACAAAAATCCCCCAAATTTGCTCCTAGAATCAAATTAAAAAAATCCACAACCAAACAACAAATCCCAAATAATTTCTCCCCCTCTCTCCCATATCCACAACTTCAGATCTCACCAGCTCAGAATCTAACATAGAAAAAATTTTTCAAAAAAACCAAACTACCAACAAAAATCCAAAAGAAAGAAAAACGAAACACACCAGTCAGAGCAGCCCCAAATTGGGATCAGAAGACAAAACAGCAGGGCGGAAGTCTCAGGCTCTGGGGCACTGCCAAATGATTTTTTCTTTCTTTCTTTCTTTCCCAGGAAAAAATTTTCCCAGAAAACAAACAAAAAGGATGAAATCACAGGGAACAAAATAATGAACAAGGAAGATTAGGCTTTCTTTGTTTTTTTAATTTTCTTAGGAACAAAGGAGGGAGCTACGAGGTTAAAAAAAAGGAGGGTTAACGAGGTTTGTTTCTGGTACTGCAAAATCTTAAGTGGACCGCGGTTGGGCCAAAAAAGTAACCATGGTTAATTGGTCGGAAGGTGAGCAGGAGTCAAAAAAACATATGTTTTGGTATCAGTTCATCAAACACGTGACGGACTTAATTGTTACTGTTCTTACTTCCCCCCATCTTTTTCATTTTTCTCGAGTATTTGTATTTTGGGTTACAAAATCAAAGGAAAATATATCTCTTTTTAAAATTCATCTTATAAGTATGTTGTTATCCCTATCAAATTGAGAAGTGCTTTTAACTTGTGCCCTATGTTAAAAAAGTGTGAATTATTTTAATTATATAGTAATAGAGATTAAATTTTATTTTTTTAAATATTTTATTTTGTAATATAAATTGTATCAAATTATAAATTAAATATTATTAAATAAGAAGTGAAATTCTTAATATTATAGATTCACTTTCATCTACTGGTTATGGTTATACAGTCTTATAAAATTTAAACTACACAATATTTTTTCTTATATATATATATATATCAATTAAAGTTAAAAAGGATATTAATTATGCTTTTAATTTTTGTTACAAACTAAAAAAATTCAATTTAGAATTTTTTGTTTTTTTTTTTAAAAGAATATTGGTAACATCCAAGTTTTAAGAGTTAAGATTCACGTATATATTATTTATATAAATTTTTTAATCATTTATTTTTTCTTTATAAATAGTTGAGATTCATCATTTTTTATCTTATGTTAAAAATTTTTTATTTAAAAAATTGTTACAAATCTCAATTATTTTTAATCAATACATAAATAATTAAAATTTTGTATAAATAATATGTATAAAAATTATCTTCAAATTGTGCCACCAACCAAAACCATCTTCATATTTACTATTTAATTGAAAATTTTTAATGTGTAATCCATTCTTTAAACTTTTCACAAGGTCTTGTAACTAAGTCATAGCTTATAGATTAATGAAAAATAAAAGTTAAAATTTTATTTTGGTTCTTCTATTTTAATTAAAAAATTAATTAATTTACTTTAAAAAATCCTTTTTTAGTATGTAAAGTTTATCATTCAGTCTCTTTTTAATCCATCCGTTGTTTTTTTTATACGCATGGTACATTAAATGATAGAAATTTCAAAATAAAAAAATTTAAAAAAAAAACCTATTTTTAGTTTCTCTATTAAAAAAAATTCTTTTTAGTCTATTTATTTTCAAAATTTTGTTATTTAACATGCCATATATATAAAAATATAATGGACGAAATAAAAAAACATGTAATAAATTTTAGAGACCAAAAAAGAGAATTTTTTAAATAGAGTGACAAAAATAAACTTTTTGTTAAAGTAGATGATCAAAATAGAATTTTAACCAAAAATAAAATTATAGTATAAATTCTGTCTTTAAAATATCTATAATTATTATTATGTGAAAATAATTTAAAAAATTACACATAATTTTATCTCCTAATAAAGTTTTAAAGCAACATATAAATAAACAAATATTAAATCACAATATTTATCGAGTAAAAGCACCAAACTATAAAAAAAAATTATTATCTTTTTTTAATTTAATCAATGTTGGTAGGTACTGCAGTACTATACCGGACAAACACATACCCCCCGTAGAGAAAGTAAACGAGATTGACCAATGTGGGTCCCAATTACAACTAGGAATCTTGGATTAACAATAATCATTCAAATATTATACTCTAATTGCATTCTTTTGTTCTTTTTAGATTATATTTCATTTAAGTAGGATCGCATGACCTTTGTACTGGAAAGTTAAACCTGAAAAGAAACTTAGGAATTAAAACAATGCTTTTCTTTTTTGATAAGATTAAGGTTTGGACGTTAATCTTTGTTCCCATACCTAAATCTTTAATTAAGACGCATAATTTGCCAGCTAAACATGACAGCAGGGCCGGTAATTGAGTGCAATCTAAGGAAAATAAATTCCAAGACCTAAAAAGTGGGTCGTGTGATGATGATCGGAGGTCAACTACCTCAGATGAACTCGATAAAAAAAAATTTAATTTATATATTAAAAATATAATATTTTAAATTTTTTAATATATATTTATTAAAATAATTTAATTTTAAAATAATATTTCTCTTAATTTTTAAGAAATAAAACAGATAAGTACTATTTTTATAAAATTAACTTAAAAATATTTATTTATTTTAAAATATAAAAAACCATTATTTTAAACAAATTTTAAATTTAAAAACCCCTATTTTCTTAATGTTTTTATGGTCATATACTAAATGTAAAGGTCACATATAGATATTTTTTTTATTAAAAGTTAATTATAGTATTTACAAGAGCAGAATTCCATTTACAAGAATAAAATTTTATCTACACATAAAATTTACACATTATACTTATACAATATCTTAACTATTTATTTTTTAATTTTCAATAGTTATA